GGAGAAGTGGCTCTCATTTGGGGGTGATTTTGCCCTCCAGGGGAGATTCAGCAATGTCTGGAGACATTTTTATTTGTCTTAAGTGTGTGTGGGGAGAGGCCATGGATGCTGCTGAACATCCTACAGTGGGCAGGGACACTGAAGAACTACAAATTTTCTGGCCCAACATGTCAAGAGTGCCGCGGCTGAGAAACCCTGATGTGAGAGAGTGCTGAAGCCCAGAGGGGACAGAAGGCATCCCAGTCAAGTGCTGGATCAGGAAGAGACAGATCAGGGTTGAGGGCCCGGCTGACTGCAGTTTGGGGCGGGACTGGAAGCCTGGGAAGTAGGAACTGGGCAGCTAGGTGGGAGATGGTGTCAGAATCCTGCCCTAGGGGAAGGCAGAGAGGGTTAGGGGATGCCCAGCAAGCATAGGGGTGCCTCTGCAGTGCAGGCAGCAGGCCCACAGGAGGTTCTAGACCCTGCTCACAGCCCAGTCATCTGCTGCCTTCTGGGACAGGGCTGACTCAGGAGTCACACCCAAATTTCCCAGAAGTGAATCGGGCGAGGTGTTTCAGTGGGAGATGGGGACAGCTGACGGGGCCCTAGCAAACAGCAGGCCCTGTGCCTCCAGCTTTGCGTTGAGGGGTGAGCTCCAGCCTGAGTCACGATCACCGTATCGTCTCAATGATCACTTTCCTGTGGAGACTCAGATGTTCCCTTGGAAAACTGAGAGAAGTTGTGTCCTGAAAGTGGTTTTTCTCATCGTACCAACAGCTAAAGGTTGCTGTAAGTGTAGAACCCACAACAGCCAGCAAGGCCCTTTCTGTGGGTTTAGAAGGTAATTTGAGAAATCAGTCACCCAGCCCCTCGGGGCTGCCAGAGCGACAGGGACCAGGAGGTAGCGGTGAGGACCGAGCCCTGGTCCCCGAGGCTCACCCACTGCAGGGCCTGTTCTGTTGGTGCCTCCACAGCACCCATCAAATCGAGAGCCTCTTGAAGGTAGAGACTTGCCTTTCTCGTCTCTGCCTGGTCTGTAGTGGCTTCTTGGTGAGTTCTCATCATATTGAGAGACAGCCCCCGCCCGCCGCACAGACATGCAGATGCACACGCGCACAGGTGTGCCGGCTGCCTGAGCCCCTTCTGTCTCCCCAGGCCTGCGGAGCTGCCGAGCAGGGACTTGCTGTGCCCGGCTCCCAAGGGAGCTGCACACTGTGGGCTTGTTCCCGGGGCTCTGCCAGGGGCACCTCAGGGACCCCCCCCCCAGGCGGTCTCTTTGGCCACACTTTCTGAACTGAGTGGGGTCCCCCCACTTTCCACGTGTGCCGTTGAGGAGTCCACAGACGCAGGCAGGCTGTCACCCCTAGGTGGGCCCTGTCCCAAGGTTCACTTCTCATAATAATGGTAATCACACTGTCTTTGTGTTGACATCGAGCCTCAGGGTTGGCAGAGGGTAGTGATGGAGTCCACAGGGGACAGGCATAAAGAAACCCAGGCCCCTTCTGTGGGGCTCTCACCGGACTCTGCTGGCTTCCAGACCTGCCTGATCTAAGAACACACGTGAGGACTGAGGTTGCTTGGGTTCTTTGTCAACCTGAAATGCACGCTTTCTGTCATCATCCAGCGTTCCCTCTTTGAGCAGTGCTGACTGAGGGCCGACCAGATGGCAGGCATGTGGCCAGGGGCTGGGTGTTCATGCTGGGCCTGCAAACAGGCCAGATCCAGTGTCTGTCCTCGTGGGGACTGAGATTTCTCAAATAACCCCACAAATACCAACTTAGAAAGGGCGGTTACAGGGAGGTACAAGGAGTCACCAGGCCTTTCAGAGCGAGAGCTCCGTATGTTTTGTGAAGCCCATGTGCTGAAATGCCACTTCCTCTGCCCTGCCCTGCCCCCAGCCTCCACACACAGGGCGGTCTCTGTTCCTCGGCTGGCTTGGGTGGCCTTCGGCCGTGTGTTCTAGTTATTTACATGTGTGCGGAGCCCCAGTGGCAGCTGGACTCCATCCTGGAGCACAGAGAAAAGACTGAGAGGTTTTCAGCTGAGTCTGAACACGTCCCACCTGCTTCTGTGGATTTCCCACTTTGAGGGGAGTAATTCCCCCCATCTATAGTACAGCAGAGAACACTCTAGTGGTGTTTTGGGTGGCCTGGCTCCTATGTAGCAAACCCATTAATATTTATGCAGCAAAATGTAAAAATATTCACACTAAATGGGCTAAGTAAGGACTGGAGATAGCCTCAGGTGGGGTTTGGCTCTCTGAACTAGGTTTATGATGGTGAAGACTTGGAAACAATGTAAGTGTCCAACAGAAGGGGAAAATGATACGTTCTGATGCCTGTGTAAGAGCAGGAAAAGTCTTATAACATACTATGGTAAGTTCAAAATAACAGTTGATTCAAAATTGATATACAGTGTCATTCCTCTATTTAAAAATCAGCAACAAATTTGCACAGGAGAAAAGACTGGAGGGAAACAGCTTCCAAATGCTAACTTTCATTTACGTCTGTGTCATGGAATAATGGAAGAGTTGTTTTCATTCCTCTGTTTTCCAATTAAAAAAAAAAGTATTAAAAACCAAGTGATGCTTCTTTATTTTCATTGACACAGATTTCCCAGGAGTGATTGCTGTTCCCACAAAAGGGGGCCATTTCTCGCAATCCTCAGGCCACACTCAAGTCTCCTCCTCTCCTGGGGTCTGTAAATGCTTCAAATAGACTTCTATGCCCCAGGCACACCCCCCTGTTCGCAACTCACCCTTCCTTTCTGGGGTGGGAGGCCAATGGGATAAAAAATTTGTGTCTCCTTTTCTTTCTTCCCTGTAGGCTGGCCGAACGGCTTTGTCCATCGCTCTGAAATCTCCCGCCCACGTGGAAATTGCAGGGCTGCTGCGGGCCCACGCGAAGCAGGGCAGGTCCCTGGGGCCGTAGGCTGCGGAGGAACTGGCCACCGGGAACAGAAGGCGCCTTCTCTGGACTCCTCCCTCGCCCTTGTAGAGGGCATGGGTCACAGCCAGAGGGCCACCCCTCAACAGAAAAACTATGTCAAATATGCACATACATTCCTGTTGTATATTCTGCTCATTAGGATGCTTTGTAGTTTTTGCCTTGGGCCAGGCCCCAGAACTCTGTGGGCTGCAGAGGGGTGCCAGGTGCAGGTGCACTGGTGTCGGCTAAAAATCCCGAGCATCTTCAGCCTCGAATTCCTGGTGACTCTACCGTTTGTAGCACCATGTAGAGAGCATGGTGGCCCTTGGCAGGCAGGAGCTCAGTAGCAAAGCAATACTTTTTACATGGAATTTGAAGTGTACTGTCTTTTTGTTTTTTAATCAATTATATATGAACACGTCCCATTGAATATGCATGTCTACAGAAGACAGGGTGGGAAAGGGGAGGGATTTAAGCAGCTGCCCTGGCGATCATTCTCTGGAGGACCCTCCGAGAATCACCATGCAGGCAGGTGAAACTGAACAAACCCCGTCTGGGGCCTTTGTTTAGCTGGGGTTGACAGAGAAATCTTAAATTCAGACGAGGTAGGATGAAGCACATTGGCATCAATGCCAGATATACAGTCTTGACCGTTTCTAAGTCATCAGGTAGCTCCAGTTTGCTCCAGGGAAACTGGAATTGATCAGGAAATCCAGTCCTGTGAAGCACACCACATATATGCAGGCAGAGTCCAGCTGTGTCAGCTCTTCTGAATCTGTGAAAGAAACAAGTGAATTGGAGGGAGCATCCTTCTGGGGGTGGGTTATTGTCATCCAGAAGCCACCGCTTTTCCTCCATAGCGGTATCCATGGTCTCATGGTAATCCCAGCTCCTATCCTTTCCCATCCTTACGAGTGGACTGTGAGCCCCCATGAGACTCTGATGTTTCCCAGGCTCTTGGCTGCAGAGCCTGCCAGCCCGGGCTGCAGCAGGAGTGTGGAAGCTGGCCGGGCAGTCCCCGCTCTGCACTCTGTCTCTCCACTGGACAGTTCTTTCTTAAACTTCCACAATCCTGGGGGCCCACATGTGCACGGCTCACGTTCACTAACTCACACAAGGTCATCTATGAATTTCTTCTTTCCTAAAAATCTCTTATGCTAAAAAATCCCCCCTTATATAAAAAGGAAAGACATCAAAGTTGGGTGCGCCTCACACTGGCAACGCAAAAGCTCGAGTTCTTCTTTGACTCAGATGCCAATTTGCTTGGTGGCCCTTGGGCGAGTCATGGAAACCTCCCTGGGAGGTTTCATCATCTCTAAAAGTGGAAATCATCATACAGCCCACCTCCTGGGGGGGGGGGGTGCAGGGCAAGGAACAGCCAGTGGAAGATCTGGAATCTCATCTGTAATCCATAAAGACAGTCTACAGAAATGGCAGAGGAAACGTCAGTACACCATTGTGGTTGATAAGAGAGGCTCAAAGTCTCAGGAGCAGGACAGTGGTGTATGACAGTGTTGCTCAGAGAGAATGGAGCAAATAATGACCTAAAATGCTTTAATTGGGTTTATTTTGACCTCAAAGCACATTTTAAGAGTAAAAACCCACATTAATAAATGTTCTAGCCCAGTGCTTCTCAAACTTCAATGTGCATACAAATCACCTGGGGATCTTGTTAGACTGCAGCAGGTCTGGGAGGGAAGGAGGCTGGAGAGTCCACATTTCTGACCGGTTCTCAGGGGCTGCTGCCACTGCTGGGCCATACCACACTCGGAGTAGCAAGGCTCTGGCCTATTCTGACTGTTTATGTATTAAAATGCTGCCTCTCAATCTCTTGTCTCGAAGTTCCTTTCTATTCCTCTGCTCTTGGCTCCTGGGGACTTGCAGTGTGGGCTTGTTTTCTGCTGTGATTCTGTGGAGAGCAGCAGGGGGTCGTGTCCTGTGCTGCCCATTTGGGGTCTACTTCCACATTTCACATTAGGGTGGCAACGTTCATTTGGTCATATTTTTTTTAAAAAATTACCTCATTTAAGTCCAGCTATTAGAAACAGCCTCTTTACCAGAGAAGGCAAACTGGTTTTCCTTTTTTTTTTTAGATTGGAAACCATGAACTTGTATTGACACCAACTACATGACTTTTCTCAATAGCCTTATGGGAATGGATAAAGTGGCTCGACCCAAGATGACACTTGATTAGACTTAGCAATGTTACTTTTAAACAAAACCAACCATATTTTCCCCTCTAAGATAGCTTAGAGGGTTCAAAATGGTCACAAAGTAATATTACAGATAAAACATTTAAGTTTTTGATCTAGGTTTTTCTATCCTCCCACAATCAAAAGTTATCAACGAATACCAATTTCCCAATCCTAGCATTACAGTTTACAAACCTTAAGGCTAGTAATTCCCTTCTCACCTAATGTTCAATTTTCATCAGTTTTAATACATAGCAGTGTAAATATCATTACTACTTTGCATGAAATTCAATATTCTAGAGATCCCAATTATTTATGAGATTGAACCAGGAGCTTCCACCTTTCATGTGATCAATGGTACCACGGAGGGCAAGGCAATTTAACCAGATTTTGATGAGAACTCTCTTGGAACAGGTTTACTCAATTATCTTAAAAATGGTGGCATTCTTTCTTTTCTCCTCTCAGAAGTGGCAGTTACATAAATGAAATAGTAGATGACATCTAAAAATGTGGGCCCTTAGTGAACTTTTTCCACATATGATAAAGGATCAGGACACCTTTCACATTTCCAAGGAAAATCCAATTTAAAGTTTGTCTTTGCCAAACTCCGTAAGACAGCCACTTTAGAGTAAACCAGCAGAGCATTGCATCACCCCAATAAAGCTGTAGGTTTCATCACATGCACCAACAAATCTACAGGGCTAATTTCTGCACTTCCTCTTTAACAGAATTTATTTTACATCTATTGTAGCAAACAGCATTTTGCACACTGACATATAAACTCCCTAATAAGATAAAGCAAAGACAAAAGCATTTCTCATTAGAAACAAGATACACCATCACTTAGTCTTTAAACATTATTGCACTTTTAACTTTCATAATTTGACAATGCATTCATGAAACAATCTGCAGACTAGTTTTAACAGACAAATTAAAAACCACTTTTAAGCAGACATGAATGTTCTAAATTGTTTATTAGGTAAGAATTTTACAAACATTACTTATATCAGCGGTAACGGTGGAGCTGGAGAGTATTGCGCCTTCTCCAAGCTGCACGGCGAGAACCACCAATAGTGTGGTGGAACTTGTGGCCCTTTCCAAGCCCACGGCTCTTTCGGCCTGCGGATGTCAGCCCTCGCATCTCCCTGTGCTTGTGGACTGGTTTGGTGATCCACTGGGTGTCAGGATTTCTTCTGATAGCTTTATGGAATGGATCAATGAGGATAACCTCAAAGAATTTGTATGTAGAATCTTCACCAACCCAGTAAGAATTCAGGACCCGCAGAGCCCCACAGTGGCGTCCAGCTCGCTCCTCGGCGACAGACTGAAGGCTCCGAGCAAACTTTAGCTGGTTAACACCATGGTGGACAGGCTTGCCGTAGGTAGCACCCTTAGGAACGGGGCGTTTGCGGCCACCACGGTGCACACGAATGCGGTATACGACATAAACTTGCTTGGCCTTGTATCCCAGCCGGTGCGCCTTATCGGGCCGGGTGGGGCGGGGGGCCCTGTGCAGCGCTGAGAGCTGGCGGTATTGCCAGCAGCGCACCCTGAGAAGAAAGCGCATGACATCGGACTGCTTCTTCCTCCATAGCTCCTGGATGTACTTGTAAGCGCCCATCTCGGCTCACCTGATGGCTGCCGCCAAACGAAAAGGCCTGGTTTTCCTTGAGTTTGAAGCAACCGCGTCATTATCAAAAAGACTTTCCCAACCCTTTCTGAGATTTTTAAAATAAGTTTATTTTCATCTTGAGTTTGGAATGTGAATACATGATCTCATCCCTTATAACCACTCCATTCTGCTGGAATGTGAGCCCAGAACGTAGTGAGATGAAGAAACATGGCCTGCCTCCCTGTCATTGTCACTTCTCTAGAATTCATTCAACAAATATTTGCTGAAACTGGCCAGATGCCTGACACCGTTCCCCGCAGTGACTTTTAGAGAGCAGCTTGGTCGCCTAAAGAAAAATAGCATCTAAGGTTTCCATGACCCCCATTCCAGGCTTTCCAGGACTTCAAGCCAAGGCTCCACTGATGAATACATTTGTCAAGTACCTGACAGCACAGCCTCCAAGCAAAATAAATCAGGCTCTCTGGAGACAGGTATTAAGCTCAGGCCTGGGGAGAGACCCACAGGTGTTTTAATTAGCTTCCCTCATTGCCTTCACTGAGCTTACAATGTGCTTTTGGAAGACAGGACACATGTGCTAATAGTAAGGAATGAGACCAGGCAACACAGTTCATTCCACAAGTATTTCTGCAGTGTCCGCCGTGTGCTGGTGCCGGGTTTGCATCAGAGATAGCACAGTGACACGGTTCAGACGGCCACTTCATCATCTACTTGGGGAAACGGAATGGTGACAAGGTAGCTCAGTACCAACAAAGGACACAGGACACCAGAGCTGGCCTTAGGAAGTCAAGGGAGGCTTCCAGAGAAAGAAGTGAAGCTCCTGAGCTGGAAACAGAGAGATTAGTGGGTGTCAGCCAGGAAGGAGGAGGCGTGAGAGGTGAGGAGAGAGTGTGCTAGGCAGAGAGACCAGTGTTGCCAAGGCTGAAAGCTTCGAGAGCCGGCATTTGGGGACCTTCATTCAGTCTGACAGAACCGCTGTGTAGAGTTTGAGTGAGATGCTGAGATTAGAAGGTGGATTTGGAAGAAATGAGACTGAAAATACATGGGGACCAGATCATAAATAGCCCCAAAGCTGTGATAAGGCTGCGTTCTAAAGGCAGTAGAAGGTTATTGCTTATGATTGAGAAATTCATCTAATCTTCATCTAACACAGATATGTCCGATACTTACTCCCTTCCAAGTAACTGTGTTTGGGGCTGGGGACATACATTACAGTTTAGCAGGGAAGAAAGACAAGTCATTTTGGCCCAGAATGATGCATGTTGCAACTGGGAAAGTGCAAGGTACGGTGGGGACACATAGGTGGGAGCCCCAGGGTGTCTGAGGGTGGGGAGGGGGTCCAGGAAGGCTTCCTGAGGAATGTTTAAGCTATCTGACAGAGGACTAGGCATTAGCCAGGTGAAGAGGAGCTGAGGAAACATAAAGCCTCGAGACTAGAGTGAACACTGACTTGGGGCACTAGAAGAACTTCAGTGCTCCGGGGTAGAAAAAAGGAAGACTTGCAAGGTGAGGCCAGAGAGAAAGCCACTGCAACAAGTTTGGACTTGAAGGAAATAGGAACATGGGAAGTGATGCTCAGATTTATATTTTAGAAAGAAGGACTCCAGGTTTGGTGGTATGAGGGACATTTATTCAACAAACATATGTGGACTATCTATTCTGGGTCCCAGGCTCCAGAGTTCAAGGTTTGGTGGAGGAGACAGTCCTAGGCTGACAGCGACTGCAGCAGGATGAGTAATGGAGGTCTGAATAGTGCTGTGGGGACCGGCTCGGCCAGAGGGAGTCATGGAAGCCTCACGGAGAAGGTGGCCTTTGAGCTAAGCCACAGGGATGTCCAGGAGTTTGCCCAGGCAGTCTAGACAAAACAGCAGGCGTAAAGATGCGGAGGGTGAGAGAGCATGGCCTGCCCTTTCAGAGTCATTTCCGAGTGACTTGGGTTTAGTTTGCATGAGGGAAGTGACTGGAGAGGACATCTGAGAGGGAAGTCAGTGGACATACCTCACTTGTATGTTGAAATTAGGAATTTGGTCTTGAGCCTGTAACTTGAAGGGGAATCTTACAGACTCCTTAGAGAATCTGAAGCTCTCTTTGGAAAAACTGCACATATGTGCCAAATTTGCATGTAATTTCAGGGATTCCGAAATCTGTAGTTAAAATCTCACTGTCCTGGGCTGTGGGGAGCCACTGAAGAATTTCTAAACAGTGGAGCCACATGATCAGATGTGCACTTTAGAATGATCATGGGAAGGGGTAGGCTAGAGAGAGATGGGAGGCAAAAAGATCTGCTAAAACGTTCTCCTAAGACTCTGGGTATGAAGCTGAAAGGGCCCGTTCCATTGTGGCATCAGTAGGGATAAAGAATAGGGTGCTGGTGTGGGCATGCACCAGCTTGTGATGACAGACTGGATGGTGGAGAAGGGTCAAAAATGAGTGGCAGGAAAATGCTGGTGCCACCGTCCCCGATATCCTTTCTTTCCTTCCTCCTTAGTAATAGGATCCCCAGCTTTTAGCTGGGCACATCGCCACCCAGAAGAGACTCCACGTCCCAGCCTTTCTTACAACTTGATGTGGCCACGTAACTGAATTCTGGCTAATGAGAGCTGAGTGATGTGATGTGTGTGCAAACTCTGGCTTCTGCACTGAAAGTGAAGGAAAATGCATTTCTCCCTTCCCACCAGCTGGAATGTGGTAGCAGTAAGTCTTGATCCATGAAGATGAGGCCAACACCGTAGGGATCATGGGGAGAGTAGCAAGTCAGAGAGAGCTTAGGCACCGACACTGTAAAACAATCACATCTGCCCCTGACTGTTTATTTCCCATTTGATAGGTGAGCAAGAAATAATTCTTTAGCTGGTCTACACTACCGTACATTTGGGATCGCTGTTGCAGTAGGAACTGGACGAGCGCCCTCAGCATCTCATGGCAGGCTCAAGGGTCTAAGCCGAGGGTGGTGGATTTCAGGGGAAACGCTCAGGCAGGAGCATCATCTCAATGGCGAGGTGTAATGGACATGTCCTCGGGTACCAGCCCCCGTTCCACAGCCACAGTGAAGTCACACCACCCACAGCCTGGCAGAAGGTGAGGCTTGTGTCACTAGAGCAGATTCCTGAACACAGGCTCCGGGCCACAAGGCAGCCACTCCTAGAGCGAGACAGTGCCTGTGAACTGGCCTGGTATGGAAATGTGGGCAGGACCATTGAATTATCTGAGAAATTTAAATGCAGAAACACGTAGAGTTTTAGGCAGTAGCAGTAGATTATGCTAGGGAGCGAGAAGAGGAAGAAGACAAAACTTATGGTTACCAAAGTGGGGGAGGGTAAATGAGGAGCTTGTGACTAACATATACAAAATAGATAACCAACAGCTCAGGGAACTATATTCAATATCTTGCAATAACCTATAATGGAAAAGAAACTGAAAAAGAATATATATATATATTCAATTCTATATATATCTATAGAATATATATATATTTATATATATATATATATAGAATTGAATCACTATGCTGTACACCAGAAACTAACACAACACTGTAAATCAACTATACTTCAATTAAAAAATAATTAAAAAAATTTTTAAAAGCAGCCTTGGTCCCTGGTCACTGAAGGATGAGCACTGGAACTGGCTGGGCCCATAAGACCTTCTCCTAGGAACTCTGAAGCTGGGATTTTGAGAGAGATTCAGTCTCCTTCTGGGTGTCTGTGTTATAAGATGTCACTCTCAAAAGCTGCTAATAGCCAAGGTCAGCCACGTGGACTGAAGAGCAAAAGGGACTCTTCAGCCAGAAAGACTTCCTGGCTTCACCCGAACGAGCCTTGCTCCCTCCTAAGACCTCAGCAGATGCCTACCCTTCAATTCCATAACCACCCTAGCTGTTTTCCTTTCCCAGCCTCCTCTTAGGTTGTGGGAGGTGACAAGGGCAGGGTGTCTGGAATTGGCTCTCTCGGGGGTAGAATCTCAGCTGAACATCTTGGCCACTCAGGCTCCTGAGCTGCACCCTAGGGGATAATGGTTCCTTCTCTGTTCTTTCAAGAGCTTGATTAGATAAGGCATCCTCTTTCAAGCTTGACCCCAATGACATAACTCGATATACAGAAGAGTACTTTCCTTTTCCTCTGGCCATTTGATTTTTTTCTCTAGACCTGGTCCCACAGAAATAGAAGCTGACCTTCACTGAGTACTTAGAACTACCCAGACATCAGTCTTAAGAGTGTTGTATGAAATCAGTTGCTCCTTATAATAACTCTTTGAGGTAGCCATTAATATTGTCCTTGTTGAACATATAAAGAAACTGAAGCACAGAGATGTTAAGTAACTTATCCAAGGCCACACAGCTAGTAAGCAGCAGATGTGGGATTTCAAGCAGTGGATCTGGCTCCGTGACTCCACTCCACCACCTGCCGTTCCATCCGGAGCTCTTCTTGCTCCCTTGCTAGTGACCCAGGCAGGGGACGGGTGCCCGCAGCAGGGGATGAAGACTGCTGAGGGAAGAAAGCTGCTTCAGGGACCCAGCATTAAGTCAGTGGCTGACCTGTAGGTCCTGCTGGGTGGCCCTGGGACAGAGGAGACAACAGGCAGAGTATTTGGGACTGAAGCAGCTGAGGGGTCAGGACCTCCGTGTGCTCAGCATTCTTGGGGAAGACAGCAGCTGTCTCTGCAGGGTACAGATGGTCTGAAGCCACACTGCCTCAATGAACCCCTCAGTAGGGAATGCCCTGTAAGTCCAAATCAGTTTCTCCACCCCCGTTCCTCTGGAGAAAGATGGGCCCGGGATAGAGGGGGCCCAGCCAGTGATGGAGGGGCTCCCACCTGCTCACATCCATGCTCAGTGAAGGCCTGGAAACAGCTCCTGGGCCTTCGCTCTGAAGCAAAGGGAAACATCCTACTGCTGAGTAGGGGGTGGGGGAGACATTCTCCAATCTTCCTTTTGCCTTAGAAGTGAGGAAATTTCCACTCTTCTCTCCAGAAAGGGAAGCTCTGAGAAGAAACTGGAGTCCCTCTCCCGCTACCACTGTGGTCGGGTCCGGA